GCATTCTCTATAATCACCCACTGGAACAGACATTTAAGTAAAGGCATTGGCTATTGTTGCACCCGTTATAAACTAATTCCTCATGAATATTATCGGATGTACAGTACCTACATGTATGGATTGGATTCATCAGCCAATCAGAATTAAGAATTGTTTTAAGAATTCAGGGTTTTTAAGGTTAATATAAAAAATATATTTGTTTCTTGTTTCAACCTACTTCCATTTGCTGCTCTCTCAATTTTTAGATTTTATTTTTTTAAAATATTTTTTTAGGTATTTTTTCAATGTTGAAATGTTTCTTATTCGCTGGAATATATTACAGGTGTCATTTTTATAATCTACTTTGACATGTGTCGATCAGATTTTCTGTTACCAGCATAATGACTATATCTGTATAAGCAACAGGCTATAAGCTCTAAGAGGCTATGGTGAGAAACTTGGCCCAACATAATTAACACTACCTCCCTTCTAGTATTCTTGTATAACATTTGGAAATATATTTTCAGGGCTCAAGGAGTTCACTACAGTGTGATTGTTATGAGGATGCACATGTTAGTACTTACATTGTAATACTTTCTTCAGGCAATTTATGAGGCTGGATGTATCTAGTATATTTCTAGTTTTTTGTGTTGCGATTTTGGGTACGAGTATTGGCAGATATACGGTAAATCTATTGTATGCATCATGTCTCGGGGCCTGTAATGCATCTGTACAAGGTTCTGATTGTCTCTTGTGCATAGCCTTGTTTAACTTTTTGTTTGCCCTGAGAAATTTAAGTGTGTAATTATGTGTGTATGAGGTGGGTGGCAGACATTTTGTAACCCAGCATGTCCATAGTAACTATGACGCAGATTTTTTTAACCAGAATTATTGCAAACCAGACTTTTCTGGGTTCGAAATGTCTGGGGTCACAGGGTGCGGCAGAGTTGTGAAAAGCTTGCTGGTTCGTTAATGAAGCTGTGTGATAATTATATTCATAAAATATTTTGTACTATTTCATGATAGAATTGGCATTTGGAAGTTATCTAGCTACATGAAAATATTACGGGGAGGGTACATTCATAAATTTATCTATTTCGCATTCAGCATTTGGATCAAGACACAAATTGTTAGTGGTGAATGAGATGGCTGTCTCTTATACCCATCTAGATGTGTATAAGAGACAGGTGTTTCAGTCTATTTTTTCAGACCAGATGGTTTTCTTTTGATTTATAAGATTTATTGTTGATATTTCATTGATTTAATATTTTACATTTTTCCAAAAAGTACCCAGGTTGACCCCTGATCTGACCAGTGAGGAAGGGCCGAAGGTGCACCACTTCAAGAGCCTTTTGAAGTCTGTCAACATCCGTGTCCTGATGCTCGGAAGTAAACATCATGCTGATAAAATCGGAGCTGTGAAAGTGAAAGACTTCAATTCATGGCTGGCACATTTTGTCAAATGTGAGTCCAGTCACTGCAAATATTATTATTTAATCCCAGGATATAAGATGTTCAATCCCTGAGGGTTGTCAAGGTTTTTCTCATGGCCGTCAAATTTTAACTCCCTCAACCAGCCCATATACTAGGCTATTTATCTCCCAAGGTCCAAATGAGTCAGCTTTGAAGGGTATGGCTAACTATTATCGCTGTTGTTGTCAATTTGACAATTTCTGGTGCAAAATCACACCAAAGATATTCTGTCTAAATGCCAAGACAAAACATTTTGGAAATGCTACCAAATCCTGGAAATTCTATTAACTGCCTTTTATTTCTAGTACTGTAACACATACCTTCCAACCATCCTATTTTTTTTTTAATTTTCAAAACCTGTACAAATCAGGACATCTTGATTTTCTCAGTCTCGTTTATGTTATAATTTTATAACAGTTCCTTTTCAAGTGGTGGCCTACGAGTAATATTATGCCGCTAGAACAAGGCTAAAATAATGTTTTTGCAAGGTTTTGACCTAGATTTCTAACCTTTAATAATTCTACATTCTATTTTTTGACGACTAGGCCTATATTGCCCTTTAGATTGTAGCTACAGTATGTATTTAATTGAATTGGAAGAAATATTGCAGCAAATTACAAAAAAAAAATTAATAGAAAATGTGTTCAGGCTCAACCAACGTGTACAGACAGTTATTTATATCAGTAAATTTTTAAAAAATAACTTGGCATTTCGGGGGAATAGCCACCTCCCCATAGACCCTAGGTGGCTTCTTTAAATTGGTTCAAGTTACAAACTGAAGCCTGTCACAATAAAGGCCAACTCAGACAGCGTCAGCCGATGCAGCCCGACCCGATTTATCGTCGGGGACAGTCTTAAGCCGTCGTGAGAAATATTAAACGTTTAATATTCTAGGATGCGACTGCCCCCGACGCACACCATCGCGTCTGCGTTTAACTCACACCTGTCTCTTATACACATCTAGATGTGTATAAGAGACAGGTACTGTATGCGCTAATAGCTGCTTAAATAATGATTTTATTTTTATTACTTGGTACAGTTTACTCTAGTGAATGCATTGATGGTAACATACATGTACTCAGTTAATTTATAGAAGGTGTACCTTAATTGTGCTCTTTCCATCTGTAACATGAAAGGGAAAATAGTGATTATATTTCGGGGCATCGTCATGAGTAGATGGAAGTTCTGGCTTTCAGCAAGACCTCACACAGGAGCGTGTGAGGGTAGGTTGAGTCATATCGAGTATGAGACGCCAAATAAATTAGGTATGGTGCGCAATCTGAAATTAGTGTCTGGCACCAAGCATAGTTGAATCACAGTACAGTAGTAGATGCTGTTACGATTACAGTATAATGCATTTCAGTGCAGCCAAATGTATTATTAAATTAATTGTTGATTTTATTTCCGTATTTATTTTGCATGTTTCAAAATGAGCAGTTTACTATTTCTAATGAAGCTTGTTTAATTGACCATTCCACAAGTTCACCTCATAGACAGCCAGTCACACCATGGTGAAGCCCGGATGTTTATATTTGTAACGGGCTTCCGCTAAGCCCCGCCCCTTTTGGATATTGTACACGTGCGTTTGTGGGACATCGCGTCTGTTTGTAGGACACGCGCGTATTCCTGGCAGTGTCTGATTGGTCAGTTGTTAAGTTTGATTAACACTCCGGAAAGGTCCATTATGCTGGCTCATTATAAGTGATTCAACTCATGGAAATTCTTGTCAACTATTAATAAGTCTTCAATTGTAAATATGAAACCAAGCGTGCAGAGGGAATCAATAAAATATTGAGGCAATACACATGAAAAATGTTCTGGGTATCTACTGTTTTTGGCTATTTTTCACATTATTTTTATAAACTCACCTGGTACCGCTTCTAGCCCAGTTGTGGTGCCAGGGGGAGAGCAGGGGAATTTTCCCCCGCCCGTCGGATAGGCCTAGACCGTCGTACGTCACGACGAGGTCGTATAATAGAAACAATAATAATTTGGCTATCCAAATAACGTTATTTTGATTGCCAATCCCTAATATTGTGACCTAAAAGCACAATTTGGGCCATACAAAAGGCCAACTCAGACAGCGTCGGTCGACGCAGCCCGACCCGATTTATCGTCGGGGACAGTCTTAAGCCGTCGTGAGAAATATTAAACATGTTTAATATTCTACGACGCGACTGCCACGTACCGACGCACACCATCGCGTCTGCGTTTAACTCACACAGGCCCGACGCGACAACAAATCGCGTCGGGCTGCGTCGTACGACGCTGTTGTTGGGCCTTACACTCTCTCCGTCAACCCTACCAGGGAATTTTTTTTTAATGCCTGGAACCGGACCGAAGCTCTAGTCGGTCCCTTGGTTCGGAGTTGGCACATTTCTGGAGCCACCGCTGTTCTAGCCTTTATTTGTCACGTGCCCCCTGTAAATCAATGTTATGTTTTCTTCCCACTAAATTTTATGGTGATCCATTCATTAGTTTTATGAATCATATGCTACAACAGACAGACGAGAAAACGAAGAACGTGAAGTTGGTTCCACTTCGGTGGTCAACCACCGCAATTTAAGGACGCGTAGTGTCGCGGGTTTGTTCAGGGGGAGGAGAGAGGGACGCAACGGTTTTTGCTCGGATTCTGAACCGATGTTCAAAACCCTTGTCATTTCACCCGTGTTCTTAGCAGAGGGGGCGAGGCTGCGACGCCATTGAGGGAGTGCAGCCTTAATAAAGACATACAAAGGGCCCCGCGACCGGAAAAACATATTTTGCTTTTATTTTTGATATAATACGTTCTGGACCCCACTGACCTCCACAAATTGTCATATTCCCCTCCGTGAGCAAAATCCTAGTGGTACCACTACTGGCCTTTGGCACGAATTGGGGCCTGTATTTTGGCTTTCTCTCCACCTCGGAATACAAATAGGTACTGAAGTCTGTGAAGTTAATTTGTGCAGAAGTAGGGATCTCCTACCTGGGCCCTCGGCCGGCTACCCCGACACCGTCATACATGTTGACTGAATGCCAAGAAGATATATACACTCCGGCCCCTTTAAGCAAATAGCTTCGGTTTCTCTCTTTTTCTCTCATTCGTGCAGAAATATTATGTCGTAAATGCCAAAAAAAAAAATGTTGTTTTTATCAAGTTGTTAAATTTATTAAATACTAAATTCACTATGTTCATCAACTCTTTCATCAATTCTATAGAGACTCTACTCTTATCAGCCTTTTTCATCTTGTCATGCCATCATTTAAGTTGGTTTTAAATAAATAATTTCATACCCTTAAAGGAATCGTGCACTACTAATTTGTGCTGGAAACTTTCGCTATAGTAGTGTAAGTTGGCGTGTGTGGCCGCACCTTTCCCAGAGTAAACATGGATTGGTACAAAAAAACCCAAAAAAACATAGTATTCGTATATGTTTGTTGTTTGTGATTTACTGGAGTTAAGATGAGATCTGATGAGTTCAAGTCTTTTCGCATCCGCCTCCCAAAAATCTGACAGCAGAATTAGGGCAGTGGGCCAAAATTAATGTCGCCCTCTATAGATAAGACAGAGCTCATGTTGTGTATGCTTATTTTCATTTGTAGAAGGGGAGAGTCGAGCACACTCGAGCATGCAACAACGTGACAGGAGTCAGGGCGGTTAAAGTTATGAACAAATGCATAGTACAGTTAATATAGTAGTCTAAAAACAGGGTGAGTGAGGGAAAACAGTACAGTATTTGAATGAATAGAGCCTTGATTAACTGGTTAGGCAAGGACATATGACATAAAAACAAATAGGAGCCTAGCTTTTAGCTAGGCCCCCTCTCGCGTTCATATAAGGAGAGGTCTAGCTAGTTAGGATAGGAGGGGCCTGCCATTATCATTTATGGCCTCTAGCATCTAAGCCTAGGTGGTAAGTGGTTTAGGCCTAGGCCTGTAAGTTTACCTAGGCCTACCTTAACTGAATACCCAGACACGCTAGGATAGCCCAAGCCAAGTCTCTTGAGTTGATTTATAAATGTGCATAATTTATTATTTTTAATTTTTAAATTTTTCTTTCCTCATTAAAAGTACATAAACTGATGAATTGTGATACTGCAATTAAAAAATAATAAACAGTTTATATACTAATTTCAACACTAATATCCTAAATATCACTATTATTAACAATAAGCTCTACTGTCTTGTTTGCTTAAGTGTCAACGGAATTAATTTACGTCAATGACCACCGAATATTCTGTAGCAGAATGGTTAAAATTAATAATAATAAGTCAAATAAATGTTCATGTTTGACGTTTTGTTATATTTTACAGGTAGGCCTAAGGCCTATATCAACCTTCTCCCTACTTCTCTGAGCTAGGCCTAAAGCCTAAAAGTTGTAGAGCTACTGTTGACCTGTGTATATATGTCTATGACTCCTAAATATGCCTGAACAGGAGAACAACTTCCCCAATGCGGGTCAACGGAAGAAATGCTGGGACGCTCGTGATGCTTACTTTGAATGTGTGGAGAGTAATGGTGAAGACAAGTGCAAAGAACTCAGGACAACATTTGAATCCAGCTGCTCAAAAACATGGGTATGCAACACAGAATGGAATTTTTCTTGATTGTGATTCACTTGCCACATTTTCGGTTTTTAGTTGTTTCTTGTGTACCTGGTGGCCATGTTTATTTGCCCCTTATAAGCTAAGGTTTATAGACTAAGTCTAGGCATGTTTTTTATTTTCAGGTGAAGTATTTTTACAGACGAAGAGACTTTGAGAAATACAAGAAAACAATAGAATATGAAGGATTTAAACCGGTCAATGAGAATGAAAAGCAATGAGAAGTCAAAGGAGCAAGAAACATGAAAACTATTGAATATGAAGGACATAACCAGCCAATACGAAATATGGATTCAAAGGAAGAGAAAGACTTGAAAACAATAAAATATAAATGATAAAGAATAAAAAATATTTAAAGCAATTAAAATAAATCATGGTACCCAGTTATAGGATGGTAATGTGTGGCTAACTAGTTGTAGCCTGTACAGTGATTCAATGTATCAGTCAATCAGGGTATCAATCAGTATATCAATGGTAATTTAATTTGTCGGCAGCAGGATATGGCAAACTACACGTTGTGAACCATAATGTACCAGTATCCATCAAAGATAATTATGATGGCATAATCATTTGATGTAGAAAAATGACAGGAATGCTTAATCTCCCGTTGGACATATTCCCACATCTCCACAGACTGAAAAAGGGGAAAATATGTCCTAAATATCTCATAAGAGATTAAATAAAGGCAGCCAAAACTGGGAAGTTGTGCTTGAGGCTAGGGGATTCACCTCTAAACCTTGCCGGTCTTCATAAGTTGTCAGACAGCTGAGTTGGGAAAAACAAATCGGCCTGTGGCGGTATCTTTGTGGTCAAGGTTTGCGTCATTTAGTTGTAGTGCTAGTCAAAGTTTTAAGAATATGAAATTATGTAATTTTTAAGTTTTAGCTCAAACTATGACTAAACTTGGTTTTAAGAATACCGAGGTAAGGAACACCACATGAACAATGCCTCTGTTGCTAGCTTCCGTAATTGATATACAGTATATCCCCAATTTTCAACCAAGGTAATTCAACAGAAGGACGCACATCTCCGCTCACGAACATAGCGCGTGCGTACAGTCCTTTTATCTTTACTGTGGCATCGACAATCCGGTACTAGTTGCGAGTACAGCCGTCAATTATTAGTCTATGCGTGCCATTCGTTTTATGGTGTTAGTTTTTATTTTATTAATTTTGGGTACTTCGCAATGTCTGTTACATCTGATTTTTTTTTGATCGCGAGCTTGTTAAATGCTTCTATAAACTGCAATTTGATTTGTGAAAATTGACCAAGAAAATGAAAAGTTATAACAATTTAAATTTTACGAATTTTATAAAATTTTATGTTCTTATGTAATATTAATCTGTCATTTTGACAATGTTGGCATTATGTGCCGAAAACGAACATTTGAGTATATACAGGACATTTATTAATTTTTACTGCGAAGTGAGTCTCATGAACAACAATTCACCACAATTTTGGTAAAATTAATGTCGAAATGAAGAATATATTCCAGTCTAATGTTAGTGCAAAATATCATTAGTCCTTTGTAATCACCGCACGACGCATGATTATCATGGCAGCTAACACGCGCGTGGTTAAATCGTCACGTACGGTGACGGTTTATGGTCTGGTTGCTTTGGTTTTTGTGACGTTCAGCGTGTAGGGACGCACGTGCGCATAGAATGTCGATGCCAGAGTTATAACCTTTGATGTCCCGAGATGTGCGTCCTTCTGATGAATTGCCTTGATTCAACCCCCGGCCTGCGTGCCAAATCCGGCCCGCAAAACATTGCTAAAAATAAATAATTTTCCGGCAGATTTTTAGAAAATTTTTTTCTGTTTAGAGAAACACCACATAGGCACCCCTACTCTCTAGCTATGTTTACAAGAGAGCAGCTTTTTCTGAGTGTAGCTCACTGTATCTGATGGTGTAGGGTATTGGCATGGGGAGGGGTAGACTAATGGGGACAATGGATTAATTGATGTATGTACCAGCAGGCTTGGGGCATGTTATTCTGTTGAAATCACTGCTTTGAAAACTTATTTTTGAGTCTGAAATGCAATTTCCAGGAATGTAGAGGTATCTATGTTAAAAATGTGCTCACTCAACCACTGTAAAATTCACCACTATAAAAGAAAATGTACACAATTTATGTTGGCCCGCTGCTGGTCTCCACAAATTGGAACTGGCCCCCAGCTCAAAAAGGTTGTATACCCGGGATATATACGTTATAGACAAATAATAATATAGACGAATAATCAGGGGCGGATCCAGAGATATCCAAAAGGGGACCCCGATTAGGATAATACTACCCTAGGGGGTGCAGGAGTTTCCCCCGCAAAATTTTTGTGTTCTAGATGCCCGAAAATAACCCTGTAAGGAGTTTTGGGCGATCAATTTTTTTCTTTCTTTCCCTTTTTTTACCTTCCAAAGGGAGGTGGGGGGGGCCTGATGATAATCATAGTAAACAAAAAATTACACTTCAAGACTCTTTATTACAATGGGAAAATTTAATTTATCATTTTACCACCACATACAGGCAAAATAACAATACTATAATACTAAAAACATTTAAATTTCACATACGCAAGTTCAAATAAATCATAGATTTATGCATTAGAACAACAACAGTAGTGCAGTATACATAAAACCAAAATTCTTGTCTCGATAATTTTTTAATCTGGTGCCAGACGCGAGACTGAATATATCTGAATCCTATTTAAATCTAATAAAAAAATTGAAAAAAAAAAAATTAAAGTTGCTTGTGTCCTATATCAATGTTGAAATTCCTACAAAAAGTGGATGAACAAAAAACCTTCTAAATAAAATAATGTTCTGTATCTCAAATTAATTCAAATATCATTTTCATACTTCCTGGTAATAATTTTTTAGAACTAATGAATAATTATTAACACTGTAGCTTCTAATTCCCTAATATATTTTCAAGTTAAAAGATACATTAAATAAAATTTTGTTGGCTCACAAAAAAATAATTCATCCTCTTTAATTACTAATAAAAACAAATGAATATGGAATGATTATAAACTCGTAATCACCGAAACCACGTTCAGTCAAATTTATAAGAATAATTTCTTGTACTTTAGGTCACATTTTTATCTGAAAGTTTAGTTCTGCTTGTTTACAGGTTTAGTAACTGGTTACCAAGGCATGCTGTCAAATTTTATAGACAACTGGCCCCATCATTAGACGGCTTTTACACGGATATGAAACGCATTCTAATATTCCAGCCACAAGTGGTTTTAAAGTTGCTATATCGTCTGAAGAAGAAACTTGCGTTTCTTTTCGGCGTCCCTTACACAACCATAAGCCTTCATGCGCTAAAGATAGAAAACAATATAATTAATGATTACTTTTTTGAATATTATATTTGTGTCCAATAGCAATTAAGGATTGAGGATTTTAGTGAGATTCTCATTAGGTACAGGATTTGAGCCCAGAGATTCAAAAATATGCATCTTAACTACTTGATCACAATTCGTAGTTGGAACTGCGCATGCTCGTATCAAGGTAAATCGACATAGGATTGTGTCGATTGACCTTTGATGAGCATGCTCAGTATTAACTACAAATTGGCTAATAGGCACCTGAATATGTCTGAGGAGGATGGGTGTTAGATGCTAGACTCAGACCACAACACTTGGTGCTTTGTTAAAAATGAAAACCATGGAATAATCCAAATCAGTTGTGGATCCAGGAATATGAAATAGATGGGGCTCAGGGAAGGACCTTCACAGATGAAGCGTCTATACCACAAACCATGGTGGGGTTGAGTTAAGAACATTTATGATTATGGCAATGCTAGATGGCTGGAAATGTCACTCCCAGACTTTAATATAATTTTCTCCATTTTTGAAAATTTTGAAATATTTAGTGGGGGAGGAGAGGCCTGGGCCCCACTTACATCTGCCACTGCAAATATAGCACAGTAGTGAATTACTTAAAATAACATCAATCACTGAAATGTAAATTAATGTCCAATACAGTACAGGTATCATTATTATTCTCATAAAAAACTTCCTACCTTAGGATAAAATAAATATTCCTTAGACCAGAAATGATCCCAAGGGTCATACAAACAAACAAGTCCATGTTTCCCACCAATAATCAACTACAAGAAATAAACAGTTGATTGACTGAACTAGTTGTGTGAAGTGCTATACAAATAATGACACATTATAAACATATGTGGCAAAGACAAGCCAAACCAGTCACTCGTCGCAAAAATTGATTTTGAGTTATTAATACAGTGTTAGAGAGTAAAATAATAGCTATAAAATGGTAAAAAATATCATTCAAATCGGACATTTCCTTATGAAGTTACAAGTGTTTAAACATACAGCTGTTTAAAGAACAATATATGAGAAATCAGCCTTCAAAGTTTATAATTTCAGGCATTTCTCATGCAGAAACTATCTTCAAATCCTTAAAAAGTGTTGTTTTAACATTGAAAATGGGGAAATTAACAGCATGCAATGATGTATAGATATGTAAAGATTAGTTTAGTGCAATAAAATAGATTTTTTAAAATTTGACATTCCAGCATGTTTTGGCCATTTTCTCTGAAACACGATTTGCGATGAATGACTGATTTGGCTTGTCTTTTTTTTAAAAACCATATTTATATAGGTTTACCCTTCCTTCCAGTGTACTAGAAGGTCAACTGATATTCAGGGGTCCTTTTTAAATAAATGAAATATTGCCATGCTTTTGTCAGCAAAGTCTTTACGAGCTTTAGAAGTGGAGTTGTTTTTTAGTTGTGAGAAATAGTCTTGCTGTCACAGGAATTCAACCCAGGACCCTGAGATCAGAAGTCAAGCATTTTAACCACTAAGCTATTCGACTCCACTGTTCCTATAATTGGCTGAGATGAAGTGTTAATGGGATCGTCTGTAATTGAGTGTGTTCTGATCATATATTTTGTTATATTATTATTATAAATCAATGTGTTTTTTTTGTTTTATAATTTGATTATCATTATTTTATTGCTTTATTATTCAAATGCTATATCAAACAATGTCTAAGGAACAAACCGTTTCCTGATGTACAAGTACGCACCGCAGTGGTGTGCCATTAACAGCATACTGCAGCCGAACTTTAAATCCCTGAAAATAACAATTTCATTAACTTTGAGAATGGACACAAAAAGAAATCAAAATCCTACTACTATATATTATTTCAATTAAAAATGAGAAGGTTAGTCTCTTAAAAGAATTCTTCTGTGCTCTCCATCTGGAGGTTATGTTGATTAAAATGAATTACAGTAGATTGAATAACCATAATTATAAATTCCTATTTCTTACCTCATATATTAATACAGTAAATCAAAAAATGTTTGTAGTAACCATTCAGTGAATCAGCAAAAGCTGTTTAACATTTATCAACCTTCATGTTACTTTAACTTTTAAATTACCTTAACCTTTTTATTACCTTTTTATCTATAAATTTGAAAACACTTCTTTTTTCACTTGCTGTTATGATGTACTGTTCAGTGATTTGAAAACTTGTCAATGAGGAATCAAGGGCGATACTTCTTCTTTCAGGACTCTGTAAGGAAAAAACCCACAAATATGCAAACAAAAAGGTCCACTGATGGATCAGAAAATGGCAGATCTGTTGGTTAAACTGGTGGTAGCCACTGTGTGTGCACTGAACCGTGCAAATCTCTTCCCCCACCCCAAGTTCAATCCCCATTGCTGTTCTCCATGTATGTAAAACATGAAAATGAACACTTGGACGGTTGACTGAACAAATGCTGAGCATGCGATGACGAGCACCAGCACAAAATAGAATAGATGAGGAGGTGAGTTGAAATACTTACATTTACATTGTTCACATAAAGAAATCCTCTTGTATCGGCAGTGTATAATCTCTCTCCAATCAACTGATAAAAAGAAAAGAGACAGGTTATTAGTCACATTTTCATTGAAAGTGATTAATTAAGATGTTAATTATTTTTGTATACAAGTTGGTGTTTTGCTAAATCGGCACAGATCACACAAAATGCCTGGACAGAACTGAGATTCCAATTTTTATCATTCTGTAGGCTCCTAGTCTGGGTTGGGGAGAGGGCTGTGTGGGCATGTATTCTCACAAACACCTGGAAATCTATGATCATGATTCATAAGTTAACCTAAGATACCTGTTTTTTAAGAGGAATAAGTCCAACTACAATCAATAGTTAAAATTATATCATACTGTAGGCTTATAATAGGATAGCATTCAAAATCAAAGCTAAACAGGGGAAGGGTTGGAAGGGCGATAAATATAATGTAATAGTAATAATTCGTGAAAATAAAGACAGTGCTTACATTCATATAAATGACATCAGCTTTCAGATGTGTGTTCAGTTTAGCAATCAATGAACCAGTCTTTTCATCAATAATTGAGATCATGTAATTTGCTACTATCAGTACCTTGGCTGCATCTCGAACCGTTGATGTTATGTAAACTAGAGGAACATCTTTGTTCACAGTGTTTTTGGTAATAAGCTCATGTTTCTAAGGAAGTAGAGAGCAACTACATATATTTCATTTCAAGATAGTATATATTTCACCAAAACAACAAAATAGTACAACCTTTCCGATTTTAATAATTGTCAATTTATATAGCACATAATGTAAAATACATACATTTTGGCAGTGCTCAGAGGGTGGTTCACGGTATTCATTTCTACTTATTAATTATAGTGCACAGCATACGCAGCCTCTTTGTTCTTTACATACTAAAGTAATATTTATCATATTTTGGGATTAAAATGTAATTTTGAAAGAAGTTAGTAGGTGTTGGTTAAGCCTGTATTTTTTTACGCCTCTATTTGCAAAGGTTTATTGTATTTGGTTTTGAGAAATTTAAAAAAAAATTATTTAAATAATATGTTTCAAGTAGAGCACTAAAAACCACATTCTAAATAAGTACCTTTGAATTAACAACCGCAATGATGCCGTTGAACATACCAACGTAAAGTTTCTCCCAGTTACTGTGCATACATATCACGTTGCTTGAACAGTGGTACTCGTAAATGCATTTCTGCGTCTAATTAAGAACGGAAAAGAAATGCGAGGTAGATGTCAATGAAAATGAGTCTTAGAATTACAAACCTATCCTGCAGTGGTCTGCAGGGTAGGTTTTACTCTTTTTAATGGTCTTAACACTTTCCACATCTATGCAACTACTGATTGATTAATAGTTAATTTATTAATAGATCTTTTTAGATCTACTTCCTCTTTTACACTGCCCTCATAAGGAGGTCTAGAAACACTCGGCTGATTGATTAATAGATATTTTTTAGCTCTACTGGCTCTATTATACTGCCCTCATGAGGCTGATTGATTAATAGATATTTTTTAGCTCTACTGGCTCTATTATACTGCCCTCTTGAGGATGATTGATTGATTAATAGATATTTTTTAGCTCTACTGGCTCTATTATACTGCTGTCATCGGAGCTTTCGATATTACAAGTACTTGTTTTACTCAGACACAATAAGCTGGCTACATCAATAAAAATGTCAATATACAAGTGGCCAAATATATATAAATGTTTAGGTACAAGTATAATTAATCAAGTTTAGAGTTTTTCAATACATTTTTGAGATTGAGACAGAGTTGGAAGTTTTACCTCTAAGTCAAACTCGCAGAGCTTTTGGTCAGCATAGCTCACAAACAACGTCGTCTTTACAAAAGCTATGCTGAGAATTTCAGCATCACTGGCAGTGTAGGTGCCTTTCAGTTGGCAGCTCTGAAAATAGAATATTTTAAACTGTATACTCCTCATATGAAAATAAACATTAAATAATTGACAAGCTCCTGTGTGTGTGTGGGTGGGTGTGGGTGTGTGTGTGGGTGTGTGTGTGTGTGTGTAGCAGTAGAAAGCATCTAGGCTTCAAATCCCAGTTGAGGAGATTTATTCCACACTTACAGATTTTTTCTTTACCATTTATATTAACAAAGCATTATAAATAAACATACAGTCGAGTCCGCCGAAGTCAACCCTGTTTAAATTGAAAATTCGCGTCAGTCATATTTTTGAATAAGTCCCAATTCTTTCCTATGCATTACTGTGTAAATTGTTTGTTTCATTCGAATTTTTATAAGTCGAATTTAGGTTATATCGACGGACTTTTCCGGTCTGGATAGGCCGATTTTAAAGTAATTTCAACCACACAAGTCGAAGTTCCAAATTTAAAAGCGTACATGGGATAAATACACAGCCGTGGGAAAATATACAGTTCAATCCTTGTTGTACGGAAACAAGTTATCCATAGCAAAACTAACATCTCAGACAGCGCACTGTGGAATGATGGCTCACACGATCGTATGTCGTAAGTTGCAATCTACTCTCACAATACAAACACCCCTCCGAACCGGCTCCAATGTTCAGTTTTTCGCCCAGTTCAGTTTGTAGAACTTGAATTGAACCCATTTCAAACAAGATTGTTGTTGTCATTTCCTAGCTATTTAATCAATTTATCAAAGCCCTAGATATTTTTGACTAGGCAAATTCAACACATTATTTTATAACACTTACAGTACCTGTTGTTTTGCTGTACTGCCCAGCAAATTTAATTATTACCAATAAAATTGATTTCGAGTTTTATATCGTTTTTGCATGCATTTCTTTAGGTCTGATATGTTTTTCCAAGCACACATTCTTCGTTGGGCAATGCCACTTGCTGTTCGGCAGTCTAGTTGTAAACAGAACAGGTTGCGCCCCCAAAACTCTGCCTGCCCCCCAATTGGTCCATTTAGGTGGACTTGACTGTATATATTATATACTAGCTATATAATTGGCATCACATTAGAATGTCCAACAAGGCATTTCGATTTTTAAAATATCCTTTGTGGTTTAATGCACTTGTCAATTGTAGTCCCGGACCTGGGCCTAGCAGGGACTTAGCCGGCGATGTAATTTTCAAAACGGTTAAATGCATGTGAAAGTCCCGGCCACTTCCCAGCAATGCGGGGCATTATTTTAACGTAGCCCTGGCTAAGTCCCTGCCACTTACCACTGTAGTAGCATGTAGAGCTAGGCAGGAGCTAGGCCAAGTAGGTAAGCTTACTTGATGGAAGCACTACGCATGCATACCAATAAGCAGATTTCCATGGAAGTTTGGAGAAGTGCAAACAAAAAGAACAACTGACAAGTGCATAAGCCTATCAGGTCTTAAACCAACAGAAAGAAATTTACCTCTAAACTGTAGGCCTTAACAGCATTATTTCTGCAAACACAATACAGATTGCCCTCCATAATCTCAATTTTTAGTAATTCCTCGTCACAATTTATGAACCTCAAGTTTGCTTCATTCATCATCTCATCAAGCAGGCTCTGCTTATCAATATTTTTCCTGAAGAAAAAGTTTATTATTTTAAAGCATTTGTTTTTGTATACATATTGGTTTTCCATTGGATTCCCTGACCGCAAGAAACAATATATTAATTCTAACAGAGATCTATTGTCAAAAATACTCTATATATTGTCTATATTTGATTGGTTAGCAAATTTATATAAAGTCCTGTCCAAACTATCAAATTTTATTTGACAAAAACATGTGACATACCTAAAGATGGTCATGATGACATCACATCATTACCATATATAGGCATATCATGACCATATATAGGCACATCATGACTATATATGGGCACATCATGACCATATATAGGCACATCATGACCATATATAGGCACATCATGACTATGAAATTTCAGACACTAATACCCCATTCAGACTAGCTTCACATTGCGATCGGTTGCAGCAACTGCGACACCCAATCGCAAAGTAAAATCGTGTCTGAAAGCTCACCAATGGTAGTCGATAAGTAATCAATTTCGCAATTGTTACCCGTTGCGATTGGGTGCTACAATCTTATCTACTCCTGATTTCCACGCAATCCGATCGCAACGGATTCCACTAATTGGCTGAGGTCAAACAAAACAGGACGACCTATATCGTTGCTAGTGATGTAAAGTATCAAAGTAAAAAGGTGTCTGAATGCTGTCAAGTTTGCGAATGGTTGCGAACAATTTGGATTACAACTGTTTACCACCGATTACATCGCAACCGGTCGCAATGCAGAGTCTAGTCTGAATAGGGTATTAGATTTAAAGACTACAGGCACAATACATTATGACATCATGAGCAAAAATAGGTGTTTGTTGATTGACCTTAGATACGAGCATGCACAGTTAAAACTACGTTAAAAATACGAAATTTAAAAATTGATAGACATATATAATCTTACCCTAGTTTTTTGTATCTTTTTGTCAAATTATCTTTCTTTGGTGATGATCTCTCTTTCTTTTCTGATTTCTTACTTAGCTTAGGTGTTTCTTTAGTGTCTAACTGTGCCAAGTTCTCTGCCTGTTTCTTCGGTAATTTAGATGATCGTTTCTTTGCCGGGTACTCTATTGGAGATGGTTTCACCCTTAACTTTCTAGATGTTCCAGGGTCTTTGTCAGATGACTCCTCAGAAAATGCTTCTTCAGAGTCCTTTCCAGAAAGATTATCAGACTTTCTTTTCCCTACTTGCTTAGATGTTTGTTTGGTCCGTGTCTCAGATGGCTTCTTAGAAAGATGTGTATGTCCCTTAGGATCAATAGCTGGTGTATTACAAGATTTCTTCTTTGAGGTGGTTTCTATACAGCATTCCGGTTCTTCCATCAATGTTTTCTTTGCGAGAATCTTGGATTCTCTCATGGTCTTAATACGTTTTGAATTACGAGTCATTGGACCCTCCAAATTATCTTCATCACTAGAAAGTACTTTTCTTTTCTTCCTTAATTTCCTTGTTTCTTTTTTCTCTTTGATAGTATGATTGTATGGAGGGAAATGTGGTAAAATTCCACTCTTGGGTACATCAAAAATGATTGCTTTCTTGTCAGATACTTTTTCTTCCAAGGGATCCTCTTCCATGGCATGATCTTCTGGAGCAGCATTTGGTACACTCCCATTCTCAGGTATAGTGACAATCAATGCTTCTTTTTCAGGTTCTGTAGGCATCTGATTTAACTGGTTAAAGTTATATTGGATCTGCTGTAAGATGTGGGGATTTGACAGTACAGATATTACGGACTGCATGTCAATATTTTGGTCCCCAGTTGAAAGAACAATGGCTGGAGGATATGAAGTAGTGTCAGCATCACTGCAAGAGGCATCAGTTCTAACCAGCTGGCTTTCTGGTTTATATTTCTTTTGTTCAACTCTGGTACTACATGGTTTTTTTACTTGAGATTCTTTAAATGTTGTGGATATTTCGTTGTCCTTATCAGTGACATCTTTTATGATTTCTGGTTCAACATGTGCCAAGGAATTTCTAAATACATCAGCTGTGTACTGCCTCTTACGGTTTGAGACTTTCTCAACTTTAGGTAAACTACTCATGTCTTCACCCCGCCCTCTTGCACCTATGACAGAAGCACAATATTTAATACAGGAACATTATATTAGGCGCAGCTAGTGTATGAATCAGATTTAGTAATATAAGGTCTTCAGAATGCCATTATCAACCCTGTGTAGTTTTTTTGCTTTCTGTTTTTGTCTTTTATATCTAACAAGTACACCCATCCATTAAAGGATGGAAACTATTTTACCACAAACTAAGTCTCCTTTTGGAACTTAGGATGTAGAATTATATTTAGTTGTGAGGAAAAAAATCCTTGAATTTCACAGGAATCTAACTGTGAATGCTGTTTAATTTCACATGGTGAAATGCAATTATTGTCAGTCATAAATTGTAGAAATGTAATTACACTTATATTCAGTTTCATAAAATTCACATTTCAAATGTAAAAATGAATATATTACCTTCTAAAATATTCATACGCATTCCTCGAAGACTTTGGAGTTCTCCGTCCAACTATAGATGATAAAATCAAATTGTAAATGCACAACTTTTTTCATATTTAGTTTTAAATCCATTGCATTTTAATCCATCAATTCACTGATCAGTCAATGCCATAATAAATGAATCTCTAAATACATGTAATATGAATTTAATAATTATAAATAAAATGAAAAACTCATTTAGGCATGATTGAAAAAAATTAAATGAACTAAATAAAAAAGTAAAATAAATTAAATGGTAAAAATATAAAATACAAATAAATATGTCGGAGAAAACATTGCTAAAAAAATAAGCATGAACATGCATCAACAGATTGGTCAAGAGTGAGAGACGTAGCCAGGATTTTGAAAGGGGCCGTTATGCGAGGTACGTAGGACTCCGGCGGGGCCCAGGGGGACGAACCTCCCTATGAAATAGCGCGCTCTGAATGTGAAAATTGCATTAGACGCATCATAAATAATATTAGTAGGCGCACAATAATTATAATAAATCAACAATGGCGGATCCAGAAATTCTAAAGAGAGGTGACCCAGGTAGGGACTTTCACCGACTGAGGAACCACCCACCTCAGCTGCACCAGGGTTGGGGCTGAGGTAAGAAAATTTATGATTAGGGCACCTCTAGATGGCCGGAAATGACACTCTCATACTTCAATTTGAATATATTTTCCTTTTTTCCTTAAAAAAAAAAAGAATTTGTATTGGTTCAAAAACAAGCTTTAAAATTTTATTACTGTGTACAAAGGGAAAGGGGGGGGGGAGCTGCAGCTCCCACAGCTCACCCCTGGATATGTCCCTGTCAAGAGTTAGAATAAACAAAATTAAGAATTTTTAATACCTGTTGTTTAGCTGATTGTACATTGTTCAAATCCATCTGATTCTTCAGAATAACATCTTTCAATTTTTGAATATTTTTCTCCATTTCTTTCATCTTCTGATGCAAGGACTCTTCCCTTAACGAAATGTTAAAAAGCTTTTCCAGATCACTCTGAATTCCTGCGGCAGCTGAAGTCTGGTCCATAGTTTTCAGTTTTTCTGCCGCACAAGATGATCCTACCTCAACAGGAACTGGTGAACTTTGAGAACATCTGACTAAAGACAGATCCGATGTTGCATGGCTTCCTTCTGCACCAGAAAATACACGCTCAACTCCCTATGAAAGATAATTTGTAATATTAGTAAAAAAGAATGTCCAAGACTGACATTTAAAGTCAGTTTAATGAAAAATTCAACAAATACTAAAACAGTTAACACTAGAAAGTATAACACTGTTCTTACTTTATGTGTATCTGTTTTCCTTCTTGTAACTCCATCTTCTGTCTTCTGTTTTTCCTTAGATACTGCTGATATCTGACAGTCTTCTTGTATAGCAGTCACTTCCCCTTTAACAACACCAGGCATGTCAAGTCTTTCTAATTGTACTTTGCAAGAATATTTACTACTTGCATCTATTTTTGTAAAAGCACTTTGTCCATTTTCTACTTTTCTATTTACAATTATTTCTCTATCTTGTTGAGCTTTGATTCCACTACTGTTGTTTCTATTCTTCCATTTCATCAAGTCTGATTTTTCCATTGACATTATATTATGTGTCTGCTGGTATATATTTTCTCGCAAAATATCAAAATCTGTTGTGGATACATTTTTGGTCTTAATAGCTGCATCTGTCTGAACACTAAGTTCTGAACTTGCTTCAAAAAATGTATTGGTATCTGCATAAGCAGCTTCGCTATAAGCCAAAGATTCTTTTTTGATTTGAATGCCAGTAACCAAAGACACTTGATTTTGCTGATAAGAATGACTTGATTCTATAGCAAAGTTGTGGGGTTTCTTCTGTTTATCACTAATAGCCTCACCAGTTGTGCTAGAAGTAGATGATGTGGCAGTTTTAACAGAATTGACATCAAGAAAATGTAAATTCTTAGAGACATCTGGCATTTGGTTGTGCTGGTAATATTGCCTCAGGTCTATTTGTAAATTGTTGGTTTCCTTTTGTTCATTACTAAACGTTTTACTTATTTTTTCTTTCGTACCTGATGACAGATTTTTTGAAAAGTTTGTAAGTTCATTAACTTGCTTAGTAACCTTCTGAACAACATCTTCTAATGGTTCAATGGGTTTATGTTTCATGCAAGCACCAGTTAGTGTGCTAGAAGTAGATGGAGTGCTAGTTTTACTAGAATTGATGTCAACAAATGGTAAATCTTCAGAAACAACTGGCAATTGATTTTGCTGGTAACAATGCTTCGAGTCTGTTTTCTTTTTTTTATCAGATTTACTTACTCTTTTACATTTTTCTTTCATACCTGATGACAGACTTTCTGAAATGTCTGTAGGTTTATAAACTTGCTTAGTAACATTCTGAACATCATCTTCTAATGGTTCAATGGGTTCTTGTTTCATGCAAGCACCAGTTGGTGTGCTGGAAGTAGATGGAGTGCGAGTTTTACTAGAATTGATGTCAACAAATGGTAAATCTTCTGAAACAACTGGCAATTGATTTTGCTGGTAACAATGCTTCGAGTCTATGAGTAAATTATTGGTTTTGTTTTGTTTATCAGTTTTACTTACTCTTTTACACTTTTCTTTCATACCTGATGACGGACTTTCTGAAATGTCTGTATGTTTATAAACTTGCTTAATAACCTTCTGAACAACATCTTCTAATGGTTCTTGTTTGATGAAAACACCAGTTACTGTGCTAGAAATAGATGGAGTGCTAGTATTTCCAGAATTGATGTCAACAAATGGTAAATCTTCAGAGACAACTGGCAATTGATTTTTCTGGTAACACTGCTTTGAGTCTATAGGTAAATTGTTAGGTTTCTTTTGTTTATCAGTTTTACTTATTCTTTCATATTTTCCTTGCATACCTGATGACAGATTTTCTAAAATGTTCGTAGGTTCATAAACTTGCTTAGTAACCTTCTGAACAACATCTTCTAATGGTTCAATGGGTTCTTGTTTGATGCAAACACCAGGTGTTGTGCTAGAAGTAGATCGAGTGCTAGTTTTACCAGAAATGATGTCAACAAATGGTAAATCTTCAGAGACAACTGACAATTGATTTTGCTGGTAACACTGCTTTGAGTTTATGAGTAAATTGTTGGATTTGCTTTGTTTATCAGATTTACTTACTCTTTTACTTTTTTCTTTCATACTTGACAGATTTTCTGAAATGTTTGTAGGTTCATAAACTTGATTAGTAACCTCCTGGACAACATTTTCTAATGGTTCAATGAGTTCCTGCTTGATGCAAACACCAGTTGTGCTAAATGTAGATGGAGTGGTACTTCTACCAGAATTAATATCAATAGCAGATAAATCATCACAGAAGTTACTCTTTTCACCATCTTCTGCAAATGCTTTTAACTGAGCCATCAGCTCTGGATCCTCATGGATTTTCATATCAGTAAAATTGCAGTCACTTAGATTCTCAATCTCAAGTAATTGATTTTCTGAATTTTCTTGCATATCATCTGTTTGTCCATCACATGATCCAAACTGCAGTCCATACCTCTTTCGAAACCGTTTTTGAGGCCCTGAAATTTGTTTTAATTTTGCAATCTCAGTTTCTTGAGTATGTTTTGACTTGGACAAGCTTAATATTTGCACCAGTTTCTGTTGTAATGTTGTTTCGGTATTTTCGATCTGTGTGCGCATTCCAGCATGGAGTCTACTACGGGATGCACCAATATTTGGCTTTAAAGATTTTGAGATATGTTTAATGACAGTATCACTTAAAGACAGTTCTTTTCTTGTTTCTAAATCTTTTTTAAGAATGTCGCTTAAAGATGGTTCTCTATTTGTTTCAGAATTAATGTTCATCTCTGCATTGATATTATCAGTAGGCCTACTGTGTTTGGTTAGATCACTAGATAGATGACAACTAACATCGCTAATTGATCTGTCTTTGTTTGGAACACCCTTTGGGACTAATGCATTTGTCACAAGTTTCTCCTGTATATCATCAGGTTTTGAATTGTCACCACTGCCAATAGCAATTGAATTTCTAAATATACATCGTTCACTGAGAGAGTCATCTGCCTTGTCAACATTTTTTCTGGAATGCATTTCATGTATCTTTGTCAAGGAATTTGTAGTAGCCTTTGGAATAAAACCTGTGTCACTGCTTTCAGACATTTTGGTATCATTTTGGGTCTGTTTCTGGAAAACAGATTTATACTTGCTTCCTTCTGTAGATTTTAAGTTCTTTGATAGAGCAGAATTGGGGATAGGTTTCTGTAATATTGTATTATCTTTGATACCAATATCAGAATTTGAAACATTAGAATGAGTTTTCCCTAACAATGAGGGTGCGGTGCTATCTCTCTGAAATATTGTTGTACACTTGTTCCCTTTTGTTGACAATGCAGTATCAGGTTGTGCAGTCACTTTGGAAATGGATTTTGGAATAACTTTTGTATTCATGCTGATTTTTGTTTCACATGCAGCTTTCTTTAACAAAGTAGCTTCAGTGCTAGATTTCTCAGAACTTGTAGAATCTTTGTGATTTGTTGAATTGATTGCATTGGACTTAGCTTTTGGTGACAAAGTGGCTTCAGGGGTAGCTTTCTCCGAATTTGTAGAATGTTTGAGATTGTTTGAATTAATTGCAATGGGCTTAACTTTTGCTGACAAAGTGGCTTTGGGGGTAGCTTTCTCAAAACTTGTAGGATACTTATCTGTTGAATTAACTGCATTAGACTTATCTTTCGCAGAAAAAGTGGCTTCAAGACTAACTTTCACTGAACTTGTAAATTCCTTGTGACTTGTTGAATTAATTGCATTGGACAGAGTTTTTGCTGATGAAGTGGCTTCAGGGCTACTTGTAGAAACTTTGTCATTTATTGGATTATCATGCTTAGCTGACAAAGTGGTAACAGCGTTATTTTTTGGGGAAATTTTTGACCCCTGAGGAGCTGTATATACTGGAGGGCTAGCAACAAAATTCTGAATACTGTTTGACCCTAGGGGAGTTGTAAATATTGGAGGCCTAACAAAAAAATTTTGAGTGCTGTTTGGCACCTGGTAGTTCCATTTACTGCGATCATTCATCCACTTAGTATTTCCATTGTACTGCCAATAATGATTGTCTCTACGATCATAACAGTAATTATTTCCACTATGACCTGCTTGCCACTGGTTTACAGGCTGTGTTCTAAACATTGGTTGATTAAATGAATTATACAATTGATTCTGTCTTGTGAAAGGATTTCCAATTTGAGGATTATAATGTCCTGACCACTCCATTTGTCTATGAGGTGCATTCCTAAACCTTGCATGTGAAGATACTGGTCTTTGCTTTGGTGATTTCTCCAGTCTACAGGAAATAACAGTAGATGAAAAACATATGGGTGAATTCACAGGGTGAATTTAAACTTCTCTTTATTCATGACTCCCAGACAGTTTTCGCCGCACAACGTTAACCTTAACGTCATAATTTATTCATCTTGCGTTGCGGAGTACGTTAATTTCAGAATTTCCGCATGCGTATTACGATTTGTTTACAAAAGGGGCGGAGTTATCGCGTTGTATGTTGAGTACTAACGTCAAAGTTAAGGTTAAGGTACTAAAGTTAAGGTTAACGTCGTGCGGCGAAAACTACCTATTGAATGGAAGGCATTCAAAGCTTAGAGGAGCAGCACACTAAAAGGAATACTCACTATAAACTAATAGCAAGTTAGATGAGCATGACAAAATAGATGGAAGAGGACAATAGAGCAAAAGCAAGTGAGTGTAAATTAATAAAATTAAAAATTTAACAAGGGGAGAAAATATGGAGGACCTTTTGAGAGATTGCTTTAGTTTTATTATGCTGTAACATGCATTTAACCAATGGATTATTTTCAACTGGAAAATTATTTTTCAATTTCAATGTAGTTATGTTTAGGTTTATCAGAAAAGTAGTGAATAAAAAATGTTTAACCTAGTAATATTGTGATTTTACAAAATACTTATAATGTAAAAAATAAGAAATTCACCCTTATTGTTATTAATATTTATTTAGGCAAAAATATGCCAAGCACAATTTAAACATAAGGATAGTTTTCCAAATGTACCTATGTTTCCATTGGCTGTGAATTTTTTGTGCTGCCTTCCTTTTTGCTGCTTGTTTTGCAGCTAAGTCAGCAGCTCGCTGTTTAGCCAATCTAGCAGCCTTTGCTTCTGCTTTATATTTCTTAAAAGCATCCTTGTGCTGCTCTTCAAAGATGTGCTTTGAGTATTCACCAATGCCATAAGATTCAAACTGGCAGAGCAGACAACGGTGAGTAAACCCCCTAATGAAAAAACAAAGCAACATGATGCAGACAAGATTTAAATGACAATGGAACAAATGATGTAAAAATACCCCAGAATGGAAATAATTATATTTAAATTAAGTTTTAAGTACTGTATACTGTAGGCTAAAGGTACAAGATACAATTTTGTGGAGCAGACAATGATGCAGAAACCCTAGAATGGTAAAAAGAAAGCATGATTGTAAAAATTTAAAATGGCAGACCAAGCAATGATGAAGAAACCCCTAATATGGTAGATTTCTCAAGTTAGTAAAATGCAACCATGTCTTCAAACATCCACAGTACATTCAAAATTTCCGTAGCACCTAATAATCTGTCTTGCGTGCAAATATGGATTGCTTACTGTACTTTAAATTACAGGTACAGGATTATAAAAGATGTGGAATTTCAAAGAAATAGGACAGGATGAAGATTTACAGGACAATTTTTCTTAGTTTTCACAATAATTTATCAGTAATCTGACAAGTATGAGTTGTCTAGGGACAATGTAACCACAGATCCTAATGGAAAAGTCATTTGTTTTGGACTTTAGACCTATATTATTTATGGGTCTTGGCCTATGATAAATTTTCTCAGTATTTTATCCTATTCAAATACGTCTGTAATTAGGCAAAAGTTTTATAGCAGCTACGGAAGTTCTATAGCACTTAAGAAGTCTGGAATGGCAATATAAGCTTTGGTTACACTAATATTACAGTACAAAGATTGTATGAATATAACCAGAAAAAAATGATAAAATATCATTTAAAGGTCAAAAGCAGATGTGTCTTGTTGGTTAATGTACTTGCATTTCAATTTAGGGTCATATTGTATCTTTCATATGGCAAAATAAACAACTCCACTCCTCAAACCTCAAATAATTTTACACAACATCATATACTCGTAATTTCTATATTTTATAATACCATAAAACCTCAAATTAAAGCCCTGGGCTGCTTCCTTTTTGCAAACTTTGGATGGGCTTCCTTTCGAGATGGGCTTCTTTTCGAGACTACTTTTGAAGTAAAGAGGGGAGCTTCTTTTCAAAATGCATGCTGAAATTTTGCGAATTTGTACTATAAAACAATAAATAAGGCCACTGTAACATCAATCTGTATGTATCATTGAGTGTATTTAACTGGCATTAAATGACCTAACCTACTGTATAAACCAAGCTTGTATTTGATTTATTTTGTTTTCTGAAATTCATGTACAGTGTATGTACTGTACTATCTTAAAAAGAAGCCATATGCTATCTTGAAAAGAAGCCCATTGGCTTCTTTTCAAGGCTAATTTTGCAAACTACAAAGGGGGCTTCAATTTGAGATGGGCTTCAATTCAAGGTATTATGGTATTCTTTAAATAACAGCCAACCTTCCATAGCTTTTTTCCATCTGATTATGATGAAGACTTGACCACTTATGTTCTGAAAACTGACTTTCCGTTGAATAATCCAAAGAACAGATGTTACAGAAATACTTTCCCTCTTCAGGTGCTGGTTTAGGTGTCCCGTCAGTGCCATCTTCACCTTTATCCATGATTTCAAGAACTGCTGTAGTTTACAAAACATAAATTTAGGAAAAGTAAAATCTTAAAATGTTAAATTTTGAGGAAATCATCACATTTTTAAAATGCAGATTTGTTTGTTCAGGTCTTAAGCTGGGCTGGGGTTTGTATTCCCTGTGCTACAATACGGCAGACCTTTAATGTGGATTGTTGTAGGCATGTTGGTAATTAACTCAGTCTAGCCTGTTCACTTTGAGTAAGGCCAGGCAGGGCCCATACTGTGAAGTTTTTTAATTGTGTGGATGATACAAAAAAAAAACTAGCTCAAAATTTGCGCCAAAAATCCCTTGGAATGTGCACAAAATCGTAACAACAACTGCATAACTACATTGGTTATATAAAATTAAGATCAAAGCCTAATTTTCGGCAAAATCAGCGAGGAAATCAGCCCTTTTTTCTGAAATGCATGGACGGATTTCTATGCCAGCTTAGCCAAATTTTTGCACGAAGGATATTCCACACCACGTGCAGGTCTTAATTAATAGTTAAAATAGTTACTATATTAAAATATGATAGATAAGCGAGTCCTATCAGCGCTAATCAGGTCTAAACTCAACTAACTAGGCCTAGACTGTGCCTACCTAGCTTCATTCAGAGTGGACTAGCTAGGCGCAGTACTTGGGTCTAGGCGAGCTAGCCAGGACCTCAGCTCTGGTCTGGCTGACTGAGTAGCATTTAGTTACTCTGCTGAATCTGTCTGATGCTAGGGCCTAGGCCCTAGCCAAAACCGCACAAAAAAGAGAAATCTATCTCATGAATGCAAATACACTTTACAAATACTTAACAACAAACAATTTCAAAGCGTAAAGTAAACACACCAACAATCAAATACTTGTAAACCTAGCCTATATATCATAACTGTCTTTTTAAATAATTTATACAGCGCACAAACCCACTCGCGGGCGCGCTGCTCTGTATATATACATTGGTGTCAAAGGTTATTAGTCTGTTCATCCATTCGTTTCTAATGAGGACTATCTTGCACTGACGTCATCGGGGATGAATCGATTGGATGTTCTTTTTCTGCAAATGTCAGAAAAACCGCTTAGAATATTGTTTTTTAATACATGTCAATGAATTGAAATTCAGCAAAACAAAATACTTATCTAAAGATTTTTATTGAAACTAACATTGTTTAATGTACTATTTTGTTCATCTGCCATGAAAAAGGTTTATTAATATAGATACCTTTATATATAAATCCTGTCTAAACAAGTAAAATTCATAAAATTAATCCAAAATTGATTGATTGATTATTGGTTGATTGACTGATTAATTAATTAATTGATTTTTTGACTTTTTGATTGATTAGTGATTGAATAATTTGTTGATTGATTGATTAGTTGCAGTGACGCCACTTCGGACAGGAGGTCGTCAGATCAAAAATTTTAAAAAATAACTGCCTATCCAAATAACGTTATTTTGACTGCCAATCCCTAATATTTTGGTCAAAAAGCACATTTTGGACTATACTAAGCCATAAAAACTCTTCCCGTCAACCCCTACAAGGGAGCATTTATTCTGGGCTGTTGCGAGGCTTTGTCGGCCCCAGTGCCTCAGACCCATCCGTCGATGTCGGACCCCTTGTTGACAAATTTTTGGCGCCACTGCGCTAATTCGTTGAAGATTGATTTGTTGCCAAATTTCAAACTTAACAAGGATGAAACTACCAGAAATCACAAGGCAAAATAACTTGGCCAATGACGAAAGTAAGACAAAAAGTTACTTAAGGGACATTTTTGCTTAAAGTCATAATAAAATTTACTATTCTCTAATTTATTAATTTCACTTAATGCAAAAATTAAGGTTTGTTAATTGTTTGACGAGGAAAACGTACTATTTTAGCCTAATAACTTAAATAAAACAAAATAAAGAATTCACATATTGAATTCTTATTTATTATTTATGATTTTACCCATAGTTTACCTCACCGAGACCATCCCCATCCAACTCCAGAACTTTGCAGCGGCTGGAAAAAAGTCTAGCTGTTACAATAGAGCGGAAGTAGAGCGAGAGTCGTGAAGTTAGAGCGCAGCCAAGCGAGAAGAACCTGCTGATCGCAAGAGCGAAGTAACGGGAGCGTTGAACTGAAAAAGATATAAATACAGTACAAATTTGGATTTTTATCGACCATATCAGCACAAGGTAAGTGTTACTATACTGATTACTAAATTTAAATCTTGTTTCTTTCTGTTTGCGTTTAGTATATTTCATTCATACTTTTGAAAATGCTTCGTTTTGAGCTAGGCCTAGGCTCAACACAGTGCAGAATGTTTACTTTTGATTTGATGAAATTGAGTGGGAAGGGCCTGGTCAAATACACCTCTATTATACCGACGGTGTATTGAACACCTCGTCAATAATTTGATCCTAAAAAATGACTGATTGACTTTGTAAACTTAAACCTATTGAGTGAAAGCATGCATGGGAATAATTTTATAGCAGAGATTGAGTTTCTCATCCTTTTTTTTTTTTTTTTTTTTTTTAAATAGAAAGATAATTTAAATAATTGGTATTACTGACAGTAAAAATGATAAGGTCATGTAAAAAAATAGAATTGGTTTGCATCCTTATGTTATCAATTTTCATGGTAGGGTGGGATGTTTTTTTTTTCTTTTCTTGTGTTGAACATGAAAAAAATAGTCTCGCAAGGAAAAATACAAAAAATTGAAGAAGAAAACAACAGAGACCAAAATTGGATACAAGAATTTATATAATTCATCTACAGCAAGCAGAAACTTTACATAAAAACCAGGGAGATGGTGTACATCTCCCTGGAATAACAGTCATAATGCAATTATTGCTATATAATTTGACACAACTGGCAACATGGATGCCATGTGGTCTGGCTAGCACGTGGACGGGTGGTAAACAAACCCATATTAAATCACAAATGGAGTTTGTGAGTGTTTTGTAAAAAAAAAGAAATCGGGTCAGTGGCCTCTTTGATGGTAGGGAGGGGATGCTAACCCATTATTTTATTTTACAATATTATTATTTATATTTGATATGCCTACAGTATACCTAGCCTAATTTTGCGTGACATAGCAACTGATAAAATGATATATTTACAGCATTATTGCACTACATACAGTATATTCATGTCGACAAATTAATGCTGTGATGACAACAAAAAAGAAATAAAGCTAATGATGAGAATAACTACTGTAATTACAGTAATTGCTACACTTGACCTAAATCAAACCAAAATACAAATGTGGTACTATATTACTATGTGATTGTAGTTGTCTGATTTTTCTCTGCTCGTTTTCATTTGAATTTAAATATTCAATTCAATTGTATTAAACAAAATCTGATGCTTAGGTTAAAGAGAATAAAGGCAATCATTAATGCTATTTTCTACCACATTACTGAAAGTACTTCAGCACACTATTCGTGCATGTCTTTTAAGAATCAATATTCTCCATGCTTGAGCAACTTCCTATCATCTGATGCGATTAGGCATCAGAGTCTACCGCATTTCTCGCCATTTCTTTCCAATTGATTATTTGTGATCAATTGGAATCAATAAACAGCTGTAAATCTCCTCAGATTGAAATCTACTATATTCACTGAAAATCTGAAATGATGTGTTGCATGCGACAACTTGCGATTTTCATTATTTCATTCAAAATCTGTTTGTGTATTCATGATTTATTCTGCCTGTGATAATTCAGCTGATAGCTTTACTCAAGGGCTATAAGTTGGGAAATGGCATAGCTGAGGGAACTGTCATGAGGAAGGCATTATTGTACTGTGAAATACCAAAAATATTGGATATTATCATCACTTTACTGTTATTTAATTGTTATTGCCAATATTATTATACTGTATTTTTTGAATAAAATAATAGTAATTTTTGTTGTCATTCTGTTAATTAAATTAATTTGTTATTACTGGTATTATTGTTTTTGTTTCCATACAGTATTCACATTTCCTCTTCTACACACTACACTTTTTTTTTTATAAGAACCAGTAAAATTTTGCCCAGGCTCAGTGTTCTTATTTTTTGGCCAATTTCAAGCTCAAAATGTTCTTATTTTGTTCTTATTTTACACACTTTTCAAACATAGAAAGTTATTATTGTACAGCAGTATACACTGTACTTTGAGGTGAAAGCGGCCCTGCAGAAAATGACCCCTGAAAGAAAGGCCCAGCAAAAAATGGCCCCACAAAAAAAGGCCCCGGTTAAAAAATGGCCCAAAATGGGAGGTAGGTACACCTACTGTACTGTATTATAGAGGGTATTACATAGTCACACCTACTGCACATAAGGTACAGATATAATTTTTTGGTTTTTCTAGTTTGACATTCTACCTCAGCCTCAATTTGTTCTTATTTTGTTCTTAATTTTCAAGCAGTTTCAGCCTCAGTGTTCTTATAAAATGTGTTCTTATAAAAAAAAAAAAGTGTATACAGTATATTGTCAAAATATTTAAAATCTCTTATTATTTTTCAGGAAATCAGTACCCAATAGATTTACCCATCCAATTCAGTTGTGTTTCATTATTGGTGCTTGTGATAATCCACCCTTCATATAGTAACCATGGCGACAGATGAAGATAATGCGATGCGATCGGAGTTGGAGGAGCTGCAAAGAAAAGCAGACCAAACTACAGATGATGTAAGACATTTTAAATTCTTTTTAGAGCCAATAAAAATATTGTTGCTACTCTTGTGATGAAGCATAGGGGTGTTACCTCACATTGAGTAAATCTCTTTTCACATTACTGTACATGTGTCAGGATTTTGGTGATAAATATCGTTGATAAGCTCATTAAGTTTGATATGACATCATCATACACCGTATGTGGGTGTGATTTGACACCATCAAGCCCATATGTGGATGGGATGACATCATCAGTCCAATATATGGATGAGATATGACATCATCATGCACATGGATGTGAGATGACATCATGCCCATATATGGATGTGATATGACATCATCATGCCCATATATGGAAGTGATATGACATCATCATGCACATGGCCTTATCATAGAATTTTGTCGCAGAAGATTTGATTGTGTAGATAAGACATAACAACCATAATGTATTGTAACATGTAACATGATGTTACCAAATTGATTTTTGTTTTATATTATTAATCATGGTTTACATTTGACCTTTCATTCTCATCCAACAGTAATATGATAAAGTGGTAAAAATATTTAATGTAATTACTGTATATGGTAAATGTTCACCCAACCTTAACCACTTTGTGTCATGACAACATGTCTATTTTTCTAGCAGGTATTACCCATCCAGCAATGGACCCTCAACAGTAAAATATATCAAAAAACAGATGTTAATATTTTAAATAAATAAATAGGCAAAATTTTACAGTGTATCATAATAACAATTTTAATGAACTTTATTTTTGAAAACAACAAGGGTTTATATAATTGCACTAAAACTATTAAGAAGTTAATAAAAACTAATATGAAAATAGGATTAAACACAAATAACTGAGCTCTATATAAAGCCTTGACTTTAGGAAGGACTTGTCAACCACACAGTTAATCACACTATTACCACTGGATTCAATATATGTTTGACAATAATATGTCAAATGGCTGTATAGTATTTCTACTATGTGCCATTATAGGTAGGTACAGTTCCTTTTGAAGAAAATATCCTGGCCCTGGATTTATCAATCTTAGCTTAGCAAATGTCTTAAGTCAAAAAAGTTAAGATGTCCCTAATAAATATCTTACACTGATTTATTACCCAATTTTAGCAAATTCTTGGCCTAAAAACAATTGACTTTCTAATTTTAAGCATTTTTTAAGCTAAGCAATATGGATAAATTTGACTTGTAAGCAAAAAAAATGGATTTCTAGTTTGATAAATCTGGCCCCTGGTATGTAGTAAAGGAGCCACTGTGTACTAAGGCCGTAATGTCAGTTAGACAACATTATTCTAGGGTTTTGTTCATAGGAATAGC